GGACGCGGAGGGTCGGCTGAAGCAATACACGTGGGAGCCGCAGACGCAGAGCTGGAGCATGTTCTGGTTGCAGCCCGACGACCGGTGCCGTGTTTACGGTCTCTGCGGCGAGTTAGGCTTTTGCCAGTGCGGGCTGCTCAAGCCTTGTATCTGCATCCCCGGGTTCCGGCCGATGGACGTCGGCGCGTGGAGTTCCGGGGATTACAGCGGCGGATGCCTCCGTGAGACGGGTGACTCCTGCAACCGGAAAGACCGGTTTGATTCGGTGGGCGATCTGCGGTACGATGGCGAAGCCCAAACCTCTGCTGTTCGGGGAAACATGAGCTTTTGCGAGAGATTCTGCTTGGGAGATTGTTCTTGTGTCGGATTTTTCCACGACGAGAAGTTGAATCTCTGCAAGATTATACTCCAACAGCCGTTGAATCTGAAAAATTCGAGCTCCTGGATGGGCAGTAATGGCGAGATATTATACATCAGGGTTCCGAAGGGAAAACCCACAAAGAAAAATGTCTCAAGGTCCATTATTGTATTATGCAGCGTTTTCGGGTCGATCTCGATTCTAGGGTTGACATTGTTGCTGTCTTTAGGTTGGTTGAAGAGAAGCAGAAACAGGAAGAAGAAAACAACCGAGGATGAAGCAGAGTTTGCAGTGTTGTATCTAAAAGTCTTCTCTTACAAGGAGCTTCAATCAGCCACCCTAGATTTCTCGGACAAGCTCGGACATGGTGGATTTGGTGCGGTATTCAAAGGAACATTACCTGATTCCTCTATCGTAGCCGTGAAACGCCTAGAGAGACCGGGAAGCGGCGAGAGAGAATTCCGGGCAGAGGTCTGCACCATTGGCAATATTCAGCACGTCAACCTGGTTAGACTCCGAGGCTTCTGCTCGGAGAACTCTCACAGAATGCTTGTGTACGATTACATGCCAAACGGACCACTGAGCTCATACTTGTGTAGAACGAGTCCGGCATTGTTGAGTTGGGACGTTCGATTCAGAATCGCGTTGGGAACCGCTAAGGGAATCGCGTATCTTCATGAGGGCTGCAGGGACTGTATTATTCACTGCGATATCAAACCCGAGAACATTCTCTTGGACGCCGATTTCACTGCCAAAGTGTCTGATTTCGGGTTGGCAAAGCTCGTGGGAAGGGACTTCAGCCGGGTTCTGGCAACGATGAGAGGCACTTGGGGCTATGTCGCGCCGGAATGGATTTCGGGTTTGCCAATCACGACCAAAGCCGATGTTTACAGCTTTGGAATGACGTTGCTGGAGCTGATTGGGGGCAGAAGGAACGTCATTTTCAATTCGGATACCACCGGGGATAAGGAAGAGACCGAGACAGAGACCCAGAAATGGTACAAAGCTAATATAGAATCCGGTCCTGATTAGGGTTGTGACAGAGTTATCAAAGTGCCTGGATATGATTGATGTTTCAGGTTCTTTCCGCCATGGGCAGCGCGGGAAGTGATAGGAGGGAACGTGGGCAAGGTGGTTGATGGTAGGCTAAACGGGGAATATGACGTGGAAGAGGCGAGGAGGGTGGCGATGGTGGCGATATGGTGCATACAGGACAGCGAGGAGATGAGACCGGCCATGGGGACAGTGGTGAAGATGCTTGAAGGAGTGGTGGAAGTGGCCGTTCCTCCGCCGCCTAAATTAATACAAGCCCTTGTCTCCGGCGATTCTTACCGGGGCCGGAAAAGTGACGGCGGTTCGAATTTCAATACTGGATTGTCCAGTGCCGGCTCACGGTCTTCTTGTACTAAACCCTTGTCTCCTGACGAGTTTTAGTTGTCTGAGAAGATTAATCATCTGTGTAATTTTGTCCGAACGAACTTAAATGTGCAATTTTTGCCCTTCCGAATCGGAGAGGGTTTTTCATATGTTGAATCTGTTTATCCATTTATTTCTTCGTTTGGGAATATGCGGATCTTTTTTTTCTTCTTTTAATTGGAGAGATGAGTTAGTGTCATGTATACACATCACTTGTGTTCATGCAAGCGTAATGTAGAAATGATGGATTACTTGTTTGATTATTATTCATGGTTTTAAAATTTTCAAGGGACCCATCAACACAACTAATGCCTTGACTTTGTCGATTCCCTATGGCATGGGAATCTTTGGATCTTTATTGTTCGTAATAAAAAAAAATATATAATTCAACAAAAATCTATTAAGATCTTGGAATTCAACCTCCACTCATAGATTTTCAGAGAGGATAACAGGTAGAAAAAGTCGGAGACTAGAATTGAATTTCTTTTCAAATGACAAATGGATCGGGGCAGCATTTGTCAAGGTGGGCCAATTTTAGGCAGGGCTGCTTGATGCTCCTAAGGCCAACAAAAAAGTAGAATACTTTATGATTCCATCTTTTTCAATGGTTGGTTTTTTCAATTTCACCCCTTGGGTCATTTTCAATTCTATCGCAGCAATCGAACACCACGCCGTTTCTTATTTTAGCTTTAGACTCGCGTGCCGTCCCCCGGCAGACAATCCTGAGCACAACTGCGTTTAACTGTATTAACGGTCTCCCTGTTCTATCTCTCTCACACACTCTTCTAAACGGCTAACCTCAATTATAGCCAGATTAGAGAAATAGAAAACAATTAAAATCAAATCTCACAACCCATTCCACCCACATAACCAAAAAAGGAAAAAAAAAAAATCGTTTTCTTTTGGACCAAAAACATCCAAAAATTGCGACCGCCGGAGAAAATGGAGTTCCTGGAGCGGAGGAGAGAAGGAGCTCATCCTCTGCCGGAAAATCTCCACCGTCAATGCTCTACAACCATGACCACGACGAGTTGTCCAGAAGCACCTCTCCGCTTATCGTCAGCGTCTCCGTCTTCGATACAGAGCAAGAGCCGACAGAGCTCCACCACGCGCCGACGGGTCTGGTCGGAGAAACTCCCGGTGATGGAGACTATCCTATGGTTCACAACTTACGAGACGCCAAATATATCTTCTTGGTCGAGTCGACGAAGCTATGGGTGATTGCAGCTCCAATCGCGTTCAACATTCTCTGCAACTATGGAGTCAACTCCTTCACCAACATCTTCGTCGGTCACATCGGCGACCTCGAGCTATCCGCCGTCGCCATTTCTCTCTCCGTCGTCTCCAATTTCTCATTCGGTTTCCTGGTACGTACATACACATTTCTATAGAGGGATTCAGCTTCATAGATGAGATGATATGCTTCTGCATTATCCTAAGTTTCGAGCATTGCGCAGCTAGGAATGGCAAGCGCACTGGAAACGCTATGCGGACAAGCCTTTGGAGCAGGACAAGTAGATATGTTAGGGGTTTACATGCAGCGTTCATGGCTCATCCTCGTCGGAGCCTCCTTGGCTTTACTCCCACTCTACTTATACGCCACCCCCATTCTCCTCCTCCTTGGCCAAGAACCTGAAATCGCCAATATCTCCGGCAAGTTCACCGCTCAGATCATCCCCCAGATGTTCTCACTGGCCATCAATTTCCCGACACAGAAGTTCCTCCAGGCCCAGAGCAAAGTCGGAGTCATGGCTTGGGTCGGGTTTGTCGCCCTGATCGGTCACATCTTTCTTCTTTATCTCTTCGTGGGTGTCTTCAAGTGGGGCCTGGCCGGTGCAGCGGCCGCGTTCGATGTCTCGGCCTGGGGTATAGCCATGGCTCAGGTGGTATATGTGGTGGGATGGTGTACGGACGGTTGGAAAGGGTTGTCATGGTTGGCGTTTAAGGATGTCTGGCCATTCTTGAAGCTGTCTGTGGCTTCGGCGGTTATGCTTTGTCTGGAGATTTGGTATTTCATGACCATTATCGTCCTCACCGGCCATCTTGACGATCCGATCATAGCCGTTGGTTCGCTTTCCATCTGGTGAGACTCCACATCACTTTAAACATCTGCAAAACTCTTCAAATGTTAATGTGTTTTAAGTTCTTGTCTATCAGTATGAACATCAACGGTTGGGAAGGAATGTTGTTTATCGGAATCAATGCGGCTATAAGGTAAAGCCATCCACCTTAACTCTGTCTTCTTAATCATATAAGATGATATCATATATATGTGTGCTATATACTAATGTTTTATTATACTTAATAAAGTGTTAGGGTATCGAACGAATTAGGATCATCTCACCCGAGAGCGGCCAAGTACTCGGTGATAGTATCGGTGATAGAGTCTGCGATAATAGGTGTAGCGTCTGCGGTGATTATCCTCATAGCACGAGACGATTTCGCAGTCATTTTCACAGATAGCAAGGAAATGCAGAAGGCAGTAGCTCAACTTGCTTATCTTCTTGGTATAACAATGATGCTCAACAGCATTCAACCGGTTATCTCTGGTACAATCCTTAACCAAATTCTTTGGGTAATTAACCGAAAGGAGAATTCTTGATAATGGTACGTGTGTACGTTTTGATGGAGCAGGTGTTGCAGTGGGGGGAGGATGGCAAGCGCTGGTGGCTTATATCAACTTGTTCTGCTATTACATCATTGGTTTACCTCTAGGATTTCTTCTTGGCTACAAAACAGGGCTTGGAGTTCAGGTAAACCGAAATTATGACCGGTTCGATTCAATTTCTATAACTATTGGTTGGTTTGTTTCGGTTTAGTTCATTTTATGCGGTTAGTTTTCAGGGGATTTGGATTGGCATGATATGTGGGACTACTCTTCAGACTCTGATCCTCTTGTTCATTGTATACAAAACTAATTGGAACAAAGAGGTGAATGCATCTTTTCTTCACAAATTTTAATAAACTTCCTCTCTCTTTTTTCTCTCATTACATATATATATATATTTTAAATTTTAATAAATTTCAGGTGGAGCAAGCCTCCGAGAGGATGAGACAGTGGGGAGCTGGATTATATGAAATTGATAAAATGTAGAATAAACAAAAATTTTGAGAAATTTATTTTTCAATTTTCCCTTTTGTAAAATTTATATTTACTTGTGTATATCATCAAATATATTTATAATTTTACTAATTGATACGAAGAATTTAATTGTGGGATAGCAATAGTATTCTCAAGATGAAAATGATTTTTAGGCTTTTGGGATAATTCAAAGTTCAAAGTTGAAACATCATCGTCCACTTCATCATCCTATCCTTTACGGCTTTACCCGCTGCAGCCGGTTAAACCGCATGGTCTCCGCCCTAAAAGAGACTGGTCTCTGCCAGTTCCCGGTTCCATCATTTTTGACATTATGATAATAATTATAAATAACGCCAATAAAAATTTATTTTTCCCTTTCTCTGCAGCGTTTTCGAGGCAGGTTTGGTTAAATCGCCTCTTCGCCATCATATCATCGTCGTCGTCGGCACGTACTTTGTCTTCTCTGCGTCCTCCATAATCGATCTTATCGTTTCAGATCTCATCTGCTCAACTTTTTGTGAGTATAATTGGTTTCAATTCTCTCTTATTGCTTGATTCTCTCCGTCGATGATCAGTTGCGGTTTAATCTGGTTTTTGTCTGAGAATCGATACTGTATGGGTTGATTGCTGGTGAAACTTTGCGGGTTTTCTGGTTTTTGTCATGTTTCGGAGGATTTGGCGTAACTTGTTATCGTTTTTGCTTGGGTGAACCTTTTTTTTTGCATGATTGTTTGTCTAGTCCGGTGCATCTTTGCAATCAATATAGTTTGGGGTTCATGAGTTGATTCATTCGAAAATAATCGTAGATGATCGTGCTGTAGGCGAATTGGATCGTTTCGATGTTCTTGTTATGAGTTTAGCGGCTTAATCTGGTTCATCCAGGCTAACTAGTATGGTTCGGTTTTATCTATATTTTGACCATGTTTTCGCATAATTGAATCGCTTGACGATCTTTGCGTAGCCTTCACCTGTTTCTCCTTGGTGAATGAATTGTTCTTCCAGGTGATGCGTGGGTTCATTCACAATTTCTCCACCCTTTCTTGTGTTCAATTTGTTGAGTAAGGTGTATATTTTGTTTCGCTGCTTGATGGGCGTTTCTCTTGGCAGGTTCTCTCGCATTTATCGCCTAATGGTTACTCTTGTTTGAAATATTGGCATGATTGGATACTTCATACTTGGTTTGGTTGAGGTTTGTTCAGTACTGGAACTTTTAGTCTCTGAATTCCAGGACAGACCTGATGGAGAATTTCCATTGACTATATGATAAGCTTAAAAACCAATTTTGTTTTTTTCCACTATTTATCTGCATATGTTTGAACCAAACACATCCTTTCTCTTGTGGTGGTTGTACTGTTAATTGGATCAGCCAGGTCGGTGTGTGACTTCTGATAGAAGTTTGTTTAGTGGACAGTTCAGACCATCTTTAGGAGTCTGAAGTTTTGCCAACTTTCTGAAATTTTAGTTAAATCGAGTGGAGTTCCTAATGTTAAGTATGCAATTTTTTGGCTTATACCTTAGGAACATTGGTGCTCAAGTATGTCAGACAAGGAGGAAGGGGAAGAGAATACTACCCGTGGAAATGATTGGGAAGTTGTGTCATTGTCGGCGTCAGCATATGCTACTTCTCCTGGCCCAAAAGAGGGGGAATTGAAAGATGATGACAAGGGAGTTGCTCACTATGAGGCAGAAACATCCCATCCTTTGTTCATGTCTCGTCACTTTGTTTTCCCTCCAAGCGAGCATGAGAATCTACCCCTGGAACGTATTGAACCCGAGATTCATGAAGATAAGGTGAGTAAGAATATCGACTTTGGATTTCGCCTGAATGAAGAAGAGGAAGCCATGACACAGGGAAAAGAGGAAGGGGATTTGACTCTGAAGGGGTTGAACTTAACAGATGAGTTCGCAGGACATGAATTTCTTGATGAGAAAGGTAAAAGAGAAGAAAGCATATACAATGCAACCCTCATCAGTTCTTTGAATGATGAAAGATCAATTGTTGGGTCAAATGTGTACGAGGAAAAGGAACCTGTTAATAAAGATGAAAAACATGAAGAAGCAAACGTCCCCTGTGAAGCTTGGTGGAGAAGAAGTGCGGCTTCCATGTATGCGCAAGCGAAAGAGGCGAATGCATTTTGGTCAATTTTCATAGCTGCAGCTGTGATGGGTCTGGTGATTCTCCGCCAACAGTGGCAACAAGAGAGGTGGCAGGTGTTGCAGCTTAAGTGGCAATCGAGCATTGGAAATGAGGTAGCGTATTAAATATTTTTCAGTTGTTAACAACAACAATTTCTTCGCTTCCCATGTTATACACAATCAACATATTATCACGTATGCCAGCATAGACATATCTAGCTCGTCGTTTGTGTTTTATAACATGCAAAAACTGAGATGACGGTGGAATCCATTTTGATTGCAGAGAGCTGGAAGGTTAACAGGGCCAATATCTCGTCTGAAAGAGGTGTTGGTAGGAGGGCAGCGACGGGGCTCCTTCATCAGGACCAGCTCCTCCAACCACAATTGAGTACAGTGTGGCTGCCCGAACGACGACTGATTTTGATAATGACGATAAAAGGAAGAACCAAGAATAGAGCAAAGTGTGTGTATGTAACTCTGTATCATTCCCGATGTGATTGTATCTCTTTAGGTAAAACAGCATACGGGGTTGTGTTGTGTTGTCGTGAATCCATGGGTCTGTCAAATGCTTCTGCTCGTTATGTTATAGTGGTTCCCTTGGTGTAGTCGGCTTTATTCTGTGTACATCTAAAATTACAACCCTAAAATGGAAGATTTTGTATGCTATTTCCAGACAGAGAGCAAAAGTATTTCCACGCGTGTGTTTTATGTAATGTGTCTACCAACTTTTACATGTATTTAGAGAGAGAGAGAGAGAGAGAGAGAGAGAGAGAGACCTGGGGTAGCCATGTTGGCGGGAAAACGATCTTCTTAATTTCCCCCCTCCCAGCATCCATCGAGAAGTTTCTTTCTTTCTTGCTGCTCTTGTTCGTCTTCCTTCCTTGGAATAAGGACCCGAATTGCGGAACCTATATCCCATTAAAAAAAAATTACACAGCCCCATCCGTTCGTCATCTTCAAATTTCCTCAAAGTTCGTATCTTTCTTCCTCTTTCGTTATTAATCTCTCCCTTGATTCGGCGAGTCTTCGGGATCTTCGAGTCTGCATCATCAGGGTTGGGCTCGAATTCGTGGAATTTCTTGTCAAAACCCTAGCTTTGGTTCGGGTTTTGGTGCTCGATTGTGCGCCATCTGGCAAGTGAGCTCCTGATGGTTAGTTTTCTTTTGGAAACCCTAGTTTGTATTTTTGTCCTTCAGATCAACTTGCTCGCCTTGTTCGATTTGGAAAATCGGATTATGGAGATTGTTTGATAGCTCGATTCTGGTGAATGATGTCGTTTGAGCCGGTTTGTTCTGCTTCTATTTGAATTTGTTGTTTCCAAGTTTTTTTCCTCTTGTGTGCTAGCTAGTTGTTTTGTGTGATTTGAATTAGGACGTAATTTTCTCTTTAAACGCCGAGGAAAAGACGTAGCGGCGTTTATCTAGTTGAATTGGTAAACCCTAGTTTCGTCTGCCATGAATTTTTGACACCCAAGGCAATGCCGTTTGTAACAGGTGAAAACAATGTCAAAAGAAGAGCCCTCGAAAGTCACTCGAAGAGCAACGAGGTTGTCTTCTTCAGTGACTGTTTCCAAGGATGAGGTCGAGAACCTCAAGCCCAATGAATCCCAAAGGCCAACGCTTGATGATCTTACATTTGGTGAAGAATCTATAAGCTTAGATTCTGTTTTGTCTAGTTTTCCTGGTAGGCATTCTCAGATCCTTGGTCTTGTTCGCCTTTTGGGTCCTTTGGATTCTCCAACTCTTCCTATAATTATCTATGGAAGTGCTTCTACCGGAAAAACCAGTGTCGTTCTTCAGGTGTTCAGGCATCTCAATCGCCCATTTGTTTATTCAAGCTGTCTTACATGTTACAATCCCCGCATCTTGTTCGAGTCGGTGCTGAATCAGCTGCTGCTGCATAGGAAGAATGCTTCGAATGAGTATTCTAGTGCTAAACGATGTGACAAACCTTCTGATTTTGTCAACTTGCTTCGAGAGGCCCTATGTAATGTGGTAGACAAACTCAGTTGCACAACTGAAAAGTCAAGAAAGGGTGAATCGGATGGAAAACCAAAGGGAAAGATGGTGTACCTGATACTCGATAATGTAGATCTTATCAGAGGTTGGGACAAGAGCTCTATGATACTGCAGTTTCTTTTCAATCTGTATCACATATTGCAGATGCCTCAACTTGGTATAATTCTGATTAGCGGGGTGCCTCCAGATGTGTATTACTCCAACATGGGGTACACAGAACCGATACCTGTTTATTTTCCAGAGTACTCTGAGGATGATCTCCGTAAAATTTTCTTGAGAAACCAAGCTAATCGGAAGCTATACTCTGCATTCCTCGAGTAAGACTAGAATTTAAAGTTTTAACTCTCAGTCTGCTTTCTTTACAGTTTTCGTATTCTAATATCGGCCACTAACACACCTTGATGGTGGCAAACAGTGTTGTACTGAGATCTTTCTGTAGAGTCACCAGGCGAGTGGATGAACTGTCAGCGGCATTCTCATTGTTGTTTAGAAAGTACTGTGAACCCCTTACTGATTTGGGAATTGGACCAAATGAAGAGATGAAAAGAAGATTATATAGCCATCTTCAACCACATATTCCTCCTTGTCTAAATGAGATATTCATGGTGTCATCTCAGCCTCCAAATGCTGACACCAACGGGGAGAGAAAGCGGAGAGCCAGCTGCAACACCTCGGAGAGCCGAGAAGATCTAGAGAAACTAGACTTCCATATGTCTACTTCAGCAAAGTATCTTCTCATTGCAGCATTTCTTGCTTCGAGAAACCCTGCCACACTTGATGCATCAATGTTCGATTCCACTGGTGGCTTGGATAATCGTAAAAGAAAGCGGAAGTAAGATGCATCTGTTGTGGCATGTGAGTTTCGATCCATTTCAGTTTAGCCGTTCCTCTGTTTGACATCATCATAACATTCTTTCACAGGGCGTCGGAGAAATCGATGGAGAAGAAGGAGATAGCTGAGCAGGAAACACTTATGAAAGGACCGGGAAGTTTTCCGCTGGAGAGATTATTGGCCATATTTCAGTGTATAGCCTCTGTAGAGGAATCTTCATTCGGTGAAGAAACGAGTGGCTCTGGGGACGACGTTGAAGATGGCAACATTCTAATGTCGGATATTCTGCTGCAAGTGTCAAGCCTCTGCGATGCTAATTTCATAACCAAAAGTGGGAGCTGCCCTCTTGAGGGTTCGACCAGATACCGTTCTACAGTATCTGAAGAGTTGGCCCTAAAGGTAATCAACAGTTCCTTCCCTCCCTCCATGCATTCAGCTCAGAATATGTTAGTTTCAGACATGATATCTGTCTTGATACATACATACAGGTGGCAAGAAGCCTGGGGTTTCCTCTATCAAAGTACTTGTACAGAAGATAAGTGCAGAGCTTTGGGAGAGTTTTGTTCCTTTTATTTCTCTAAGGAGAAGACTGTTCATTGACTTTGGGCTTTCAGAGAGTTGTTCACTCTGATCCGATTGGGCCGTTCAGCGTTTGACAAATACCCAAATCGAACAGAAATATTTGCTATTTATTGTTTTAATTTTATTGAAAATGCCTTTCTTACTAATGAAATATGTGTATGTATATTTCATGGATGATTAAGACATGATTTCCACATTTATTTGTTGACAACGTGACAGTCTCCTTATTGTACTCCACACAAATAGATAGCAACAAAATAAATTCTCAGTAAAATAAATAATAAATTTTGAAAGGTGCAAAAAATGTTTTTTTTTTTTAAATATGTTTATGTGTTTATAAAACATCAAGATAGAGTATTTTATAGTTAGTTAAGTGTTAGATTGAATAATCAATATAATGATTTTCTTAAGGACTGAATTATATATCGAAATTATACGAAATGTTTTCATGTATATCATTCCTATGTTACGTAGATTTTATTTTGAAGCATACTAAATGAATAACAATAATAATTAGATGGTTAGAGAGAAGGGGAGTAGAGGCATGAGGTGTAATTAAATGCTATTGAAATTGTGGGCTGGCTGGACACCTACCCTCTTGTGTTGCCCACTTGGTACCGCCTATTAATTTTCTTTTTTCAATATTTATTTGTCAAATGAGATTAAGGACTCGGTCTCTTCAGTGGCTTCTTCACAGAAGAGGCGTGCATGCATGTATGTGATATAGATTTTGCTGATATAGATACACATGCATGTATCTGATATATTTTGGTCAGTCAGTACATTTCACTAATAATTGGTGTTACTCGTTCTGATAATCATACAGTCGACCGCCTATTTGGTTGGTGTCATTCATGAGATATATAAACACATATATATATATATATATATATATATGACTTAATTTGCATGTATTTATGATTTGGGGTGTACAAGTCAGCACCTTCTGACTTTTACATCCATGAATGCCCTCTGTCCTCCAGAGACATTCAGTCGTCAAGATTGTGTGCAGACTGCAGAGGCGGAGGGGTTAAAATTCAGATTTCAATGATTGAGAAAAGATGGTCAAACCAATGACACGATTATCTCCTCTGTATCTGAGTTGATCCCCCAATCCATTGGCATTTTTCTATCAAAATCATTAAAATTGATGAGTTATTTTACCATAACATTATTATTCGATTAACAGATATCAAGTGTGTGTTGGAGTGATCGGTCGAAATCATTTACAAAATATGGTACCACGGGGAAAGCATGTAATTCCAACTCACATGAACAGCCGACGACTCAACTCTACTAAGTTTCATCACACACACTCGTACATATGTGTGTCTAATTTACGTGGATGGTCATTTAATGGATGAAATAAATGATGCCCTACCTCTGCTTGCAGTTGCAGGATTAGGTATTATCGCTACAAGAAATGACCATGACCACTCTGCTTTTGTCCTCCCCCGCATACACAGACACTCGACTCCAACTGGTTCCGAGAGAGACTCCATTAATTGTCTCTTGTCTCACCCATTTCCTCTATTTCCCTATAAATCTCCCCCCTCCCCAATATGACCCCTTTGTACCTCATTCCTCTTTCCTCTCATCATCCACATCTGAGAGCATACTTTGTCTGCCCATTAATTTCCTGAAAAAAAACCAAATATATTCGTTACCCCAGAAAAGATCCTTACTTTCCCGGAAAGACAAAGCCATCCTTCCTTGTCCTCGTCATATTTAGAATAAGATAGACACACTGTTATCTCATTCGGATCTCCCCCACATACATAATCTTGGACACCCCAATGGAAGTAACGAATGTCATGGTGGTGGCGGCCGCATTGGTGGCTGCCTACTTGTTGTGGTTCATGAGTATCTCACGGAATCTAAAGGGTCCACGTGTCTGGCCCTTACTGGGCAGCCTCTCGGGGCTGATCCAGAACCGTGAGCGGATGCACGACTGGATCACCGAGAACCTCCGGGCGTGTGGCGGCACCTACCAGACCTGCATTTGCGCCCTTCCTTTCTTGGCTCGGAAGCAAGGCCTCGTGACTGTCACGTGCGACCCCAAGAACATCGAGCACATTCTCAAGACTCGCTTCCACAACTACCCCAAAGGCCCCACTTGGCAAGCCGTCTTCCACGACCTCCTCGGCCATGGCATCTTCAACTCCGACGGCGACACCTGGCTCTTCCAGCGTAAAACCGCCGCTCTCGAGTTCACCACCAGGTCTTCTTTCTCACTTAACATATTTATAAACCCTAAACCCAGTTTAAACAAAATCAGATGTCTTAAGGCACAACCACAGGTTACGATTAAAACCATTTTTTTTTCTCCCCCGGGATACCTTTTTTGAAATGCAGAACGCTGAAGCAAGCCATGGGTCGGTGGGTAAACCGGGGAATTAAAAACCGGTTCTGCCCGATACTGGAAGCGGCTCAGGCTAAAGCCGAGACGGTTGATCTCCAGGATTTGTTCCTGCGGCTCACTTTCGACAACGTTTGCGGCTTAGCCTTCGGTCGGGAGACCCAGACCTGCTCGCATGGCCTTCCCGCTAACGCCTTCGCATCGGCCTTCGACTGCGCCACCCAAGCCTCTCTTCAACGCTTCATTCTGCCTGAGTTCCTATGGAGGCTCAAGAAATGGCTCCGGCTCGGCTTGGAACTCAGCTTGAGCCGAAGCCTCCTCCAGATCGACGGCTATATGGCTGACGTCATCACCGCACGTAAGCAGGAGCTAATGCTGAGTCAGCGCCAGAGCCACGACGATCTCCTCTCTCGTTTCATGAAGCGCAAAGATGACTCCTTCAACGAGAGGTTCCTGCAGCAAGTGGCTGTCAACTTCATCCTCGCAGGACGTGACACGTCATCGGTGGCGCTGAGCTGGTTCTTCTGGCTCATCACCAAGCATCCGACGGTCGAGGACAAGATCATGAGGGAGATCTGCTCCGTCCTGATCGAGACACGTGGCAGTGACGTCTCATCGTGGACAGAGGAGCCGCTAGGGTTTGACGAGGTGGATCGCTTGGTGTACCTGAAGGCGGCGCTATCGGAGACGCTGAGGCTGTACCCGTCGGTGCCGGAGGACTCAAAGCATGTAGTGAACGACGATGTTTTGCCGGACGGAACCTTTGTACCGGCGGGATCGTCGGTGACGTACTCGATCTACGCGATCGGGAGGACGAAGGCGGCGTGGGGAGAGGATTGCCTGGAATTCAAGCCGGAGAGGTGGATGGAGGGAGGGAAATTCATAAACCACGACCAGTATAGGTTCGTGGCGTTCAACGCAGGGCCAAGGACATGCCTGGGGAAGGACATGGCGTACCTGCAGATGAAATCGATAGCGGCGGCGTTGATGCTACGCCACCGGGTGACGCTGGTGCCGAACCATAAGGTGGAGCAGAAGATGTCGCTGACGCTTTTCATGAAGAACGGCCTTCGCGTTCACCTCCACAGGAGGGAACTTGGAGAGATCGTCCGAAGTGTTATGGCGGGGAGAGACGCCATTACCGGTGATGGCGTCCGCGCTTAATCCCAGTATTGGCTCGCTCTTTCTTTCCGACGGTTGGTTGCCTCTTCTTACTCGTAATTTTGCGTTTCAGTTGGTGATATAGTTATTATATTCTGGTGGTTCGGTTTAAAGGAAAAACAAGGGAAAAGTAAGCTTATGGTCCAAATATTTTTAATTTTTTGGTATACGCAAAATAAATAGTGTTTACTTGTAGCTTATTGGATGGGAAATGCTCATTGCAATGTATCTTGTAATGTCTGGGTAATATACATATCTATTACCATATGTATACAAGCGCAGTATGTACACTGAGAAATATCAAGCAAGAGTTTTGAGAGTTTCTTTTTTATCTGTGTCTGTATGCATGCACATAGACATAATATACTTGAAAGCGTATGAATGAATCTACAGTAACTAAATCTTCACCAGTATGTTGGACAAAAACAAAAAGAAGACAATTGAGTACAGTCCATGAAGAAACCGCATATGATGTATAGACCAGCGCCTTGGAAAAGAGATCTGATTAAACCCATTCATTAGCAGCAAGCAAACGGCCACGACATTATCTGAGGTCGATGCATAACACAGATGCACAATCCATGGACGAGCATTTTAGACATCATTTTGAGTTTAAGGTGATAAGAAGAATAATAAACTTTCTCAAACCTTTGCAGGTTTTTTTTTCATTTTAAGTCTTCCATGCTTGTGTCCATGGATTGCAGTCGGTTCCATTGCTTGATTTTTTTTAGGCAATCTTATGTGATTTGATGCTCATGAAATGCGGGCTTAGTCGAGCACCTTCTCCCCGGTAGCAAAGAAGTTCCAGACCAGCGTTCCGACTATGTACAGTGCAACTGCTACTTTGAACACATCGTCCCATGAACCTACAACATACGGAAAAGAAATTCGGATGGTTAAAAAAAAGATCGTCGTAACTGTTCAGGCAAGCTGTTTATCAAACAGAGTTCGTCGGTAGGCCAGGATAGACAATTCACTCTCAAATAAGAGAGCTATGAAATTTTGGAAATAACATGAAGAACATAAAACATCTTTTGGTATGCACCTCGTTGGAGTATGTAGCCAGTAGCAGCGGTGCCAAACACACCAGCGAGCACACCTGCTGTGTTTGAAAGTCCCAAGAGTACACCCTGCCATTGAGAATTTTGTAAGAGCAGCCATTAAGAAACATCATCGCTTCAAAAGCAAACTACAGAGGCAGAAGCAACTGATGTTATCAGAACGAAAACAGGATAACATATTTAAGAGATTGTGATGTATCTCACAGCATAGCGTGGCCCAATGTCTTGGTGATTTGAATAGAGACCGGACTGCGAGAACGCATCAGAACCCTGTCGGGACAACATGAATTCATCATAGCTTTGTCAGACTCAGAATTTGGACATCAAAAGGGAACATGAATAGGCCATCCTTTTATCAGTGCTCATCACAGAGACAATTATCAAAAGGATTTACTGATATTAGCAGCTTCTCAACATGAGAATCAATTGATCCACACATAATTCATGAAGATGAGAACAACAATCGCAACATTGTCGGAGAAAGTGAGAATATAACGAACAGGGAAGATGATGAATAGAGACAATAACAATACCTGACTGCATGCCATGCACAGAACCGCCATGGCAGGAGTTTTGACATGGCTCAGCTGAGTCAGGAAGAAGGCAGGACCCAGAAAACCAATCGATTGCATGATCTGCAACATTCGAGGTTTATTTGTAGGAAGTATTTTGGATTATTGTGGAACCCAAATATAAATGACTCATGAGATCAAGTTTTCATTACATGTACTCATTTTTATCTCCTTTTACAGAAAACATCGATACAGCGCAGAGAAACATCGGTGTAACATGTTAAAGCATGCACTATACCGAAAATGAAAAGAGACGCCTAATGACCAGATGGCAGAATAAAGTACTCTCTTGCCTTGCGAACTGCTGTTATGGAAAGACCTTTGCTCACAAGAGTATCAGCAATCCACCCTCCAAGATTTGCAAAAACAGCCATGGTTAACCATGGCAAAACGCAAAAGAGCCCAGATTCAGTGAGGTTGAACTTCAAAACCTAGAAACAGGATCAAAGCCAGAGGATATACTGGCAAATTTTATTTACTCATTAGAAAAGAAAAAGAACTAAGCCATATGGAAATAATTGGAATCGCATTACGTGCCTGATTGTAATATGTTGGCATCCATGTCAATAGAATGAAAGTTCCCCAATTATGACAAAAGTGAGAGATTATGAGAGCCCAGACAGGAGCCTTAGATAGTATCAGCTTCCATGGAATGACTGTAACAGGTTCCCGTGGTTTGTTTCCACCGAGTATGACCATCTTTTCTTCTGCAGTTAGATTTGGGTCATCCTTAGGAGTGCTATATGCCTGCGAGGAAACGGATATAAGCAGCGATACAGAAAATATTCTTTTTGATGTCAGTATCAACTTGATATCAAACTCTTAGCTACTACAGTGGAAGAAGATATCATACATTTTTTAGCCATAGCACAAACCATATACTTCCAAGGGAACCAAAAGAATAGAAAACAGATGGCCATCCAAACTTGTGGATTAGTACAGGAGAGAACGCCAATCCTGTAACAGAGCCAAGATACATGCCACTGTACACTAGCGCAAGCGATCTGCTTCTCTCAGAGACAGGAATCCATTTAGAAAGCATGTTGTTCATTGCAGGCATGGCAACACCCTGGATAAATAGTAGAAAGGATCTACCAGTGAGAAGAGGTCAAGTTTGATCATTAGTAAAGGGTAAAAAATAATACAGAAGATGTCTACCTCGCCAATGCCCATGAATGCACGCATGATGAGCAGAAATGGGAGACCCAATCTAGCAGCAATTGGTGTCATAACTGTGGCAATGGACCACCAAATGACACCAAAACCTAAAACTGCCTTCCCCCCAAACTTATCTGCCCATATGCCTCCCAGAATCTGAGTTTAGGAAAAAAAACTGCATCACTAGACTGACATATGAAAAGAAAAGTAAGGCATTTTTCCGAATGCAATAAAACATTAAATCCTCCAGAGATGAACTGAGACCAACCTGTGTGAGAAGATATCCCCAGAAGAAAGAGGACTGGATTAAGCCGACCGTTGCACTGTTCCAGTTAAATTCTTGTGACATGGGAAGAATTGCAATGCTCATATTAACCTGCAACAAGCATATCATTAAGCTAGCATGTTCAATATCTAGCAAGGATGGAACATAGAAACTTGGAGACAAAAAAGTATATACTGCACACTTGGAGACAAAAAGGTATATACTGCACATTTTCAATGTACAATCAAGGAAAGACTTACACGGTCCATATTGCAGAGAAGAAATGAGGCAAAACATAGCAGCACAATCACCCAACGCTTGGGAAACTGCTGCCACCAAGGAGATGCATCCTGCAGATTTCCTTCAACCAGAACCGCCTCAGGGGATCCATCTGCTGATCGTAGTGGTTCTACATTTGTTTCCGTGATGTCGTACTCTTCTGACTTGTAGTAAACACGAGATCCATTCAGCTTCAATCTCCCACATTGGTTGACGCTGTTCTTAAAACCAAGGCTATGGTTTATTCTTGGCTGGAGAAAACAACCAACTCTTCTTCTGACTACCAATTCGTGGCTTAAACTAGCTCGCTGAGATAGAAAAGGTGGAGGCTGGCTTCCGAGTGACAACGCTACAATTAGGAAAAGCTTTAGTATAATATCACTAAAAAAATTGAAGAGTTAGAGAAGGCCGGAAGTACCATTTGAGATTTGACTGCAGAAATCCCGAGAGAGCACATTTCCCGTGTCATGCTCGGAACCCGTGATAGTTAACCTCTTTCTCCCATTAAACAGAGTAGCTCTTTCGTCCTGATAAATATTAGCTAAAAAGGTATGCAAATCAGCTCAAAGGTGCGCAATTGAGTGGACTTATGGAGTGCAACAGAACTTGTCCCGGAACATACAGAACAATGAAACGAGCACCGGATAATCTCTTTATGAACAAAAACAAGATATCCGGACAATGCGATGCACCCACGCGAATGCTCACCCTATTCAAAGAATCAAGAAAATTGCCTATGTTCATCGCCTCCAAATTTATAATCCAAACGAGAAAAAAAACCTAGCATATTGAAACAGTAATTCCAACTCAAACATGCAGCTCGCAAATGATGAGTCAACATCAACGCAAGAAAATCTCAGAAAGCAACTTCAGCTCAGACACAAAATCTCATACAAAAGATCGAAAACCAAATGAGACGACCTAAGACGGAAGAGGGATACCTGAGCCGATGAAGTTCCTGTTCGAAATCAAGCCACCCATTGCCATGTTATCTGCGTCAGGACCAAGGCTTCGGAAGAAGAACAGGGAAGCTAAAAAAGGAGCCAAGGAATTTCAAGCTCCTTCCATTGGAGCGGAGAAAGCGAAGAAAGACATTTGAAACTGTCGAATGAAGCGAAGCTTCAGTTTTTGTCAGAAGCGGGAAAATCCCTAATGGCCATATGGAGCAGAAGAGGAAAGGGGGGTCGAGAGGGTGACACGTGGCAAATCATCTTCTTCTCGTTCGAACTTGGAACCTCCGTGGCGCTTGAATGACGAATATACCCCTGGAGCCAGGGAGACCCCGAGCCCGCGCGGGGAGGTTTCAAGGATCGCCGTGCGGTGGTTAGACGGTGAATAACTGGAAAAGATAGGGGTAGTATCGGTAGATCAGGGCTGAAGGCATCTGAGCCGTAACTGCCGAAGATGACCTCAGCATATCACGCATACAAAAAAAAAAAACTCACGTTTGGAAAATAATGCCTCCGGCCAAACCGCTCACCCGCCGAAAGTCAATGGCGAAATATTGATGTGCTGAGAGAAATTTGCAATTGGATAAATAATTCAATATTTACAAAGAAAACTAACAATTTTTTTAAAATAAAATAAAGCGTTTGAATTTAACAAAATCAAAATCATATTTTCATAATTTTAAGTAAATAAAATAAAGTATGTGATATTTTTATAAAAATAATTTATAAATAATCGGTAAACTTTAACGATAGAATAAGTGAAAAAAATTAAAATTTTGGGAATATGATGACGTAATATTGGGCGGTTGGTTACTTAAAGGGCCGAGGAAGTTTGGGCATCAACTGGGCCGTTGTGAGCATTGACACTTTTGGGCCGAAAACAATATTATTGTTTCGATCTTATATTCTAAAGGAGAACAGGAAAGAACAAAAGATAGTGGAGAACAACAGAAGCGAATAAAGGTTCTACTACTACTACACACACATAAAAGCACTCAGAGATCCATCAAATCTCAAATTCTCTTACAGAATAACCAGAAATACATGCATCTCAAAAGCTATATATCAAATACAATGACACTTCCAATCAATTTCCCATGGGCTGTCTAACTTCAGCTTCTGCTCTTGAAGGGGATCGCTCTGATGACGATTTGGTGATAGAGAGCGGCCAAAGCTGCTCCAATGAATGGTCCAACCCAGAATATCCACTGCGCGTACAAGAAGAGAAAACACAGCGGTCAGACATTGAAACACATGCTAAACATCACACGGAATGCATTCTTGAAACATTTCTGATATCATCAAGTCATATAGGACTAACGTGGTCATCCCACGCGTGGTCCTTGTTGTAGATGATAGCAGCTCCAAGGCTCCGAGCAGGGTTGATGCCCGTTCCAGTGATGGGAATTGTCGCCAGGTGTACCAAAAACACCGCAAAACCGATTGGGAGGGGCGCCAAGATCTACATTAACCAAAACCCATTTGGAATCTAACCCGGTTCAGTGACCTTTTCAGGCAAGCCAAACAGGTTGTCCAAGAACGAACTCCAGTTTCAACGATCAAAACAAATAAACATGTGGGAGTGGAGAATGAAGAAAGAAACGTACCGGGACGTGAGAGTCACGTGCGTTACGCTTGGCATCGGTGGCGGAGAAGACGGTGTAGACGAGGACGAAGGTGCCGACGATCTCGGCGCCGAGGCCGTCGCCCTTTGTGTAGCCGTGGGCCACGGTGTTGGCGCCGCCGCCGAGACGCTGGTAGTGAGAAGGCATGAAGCCTTTCACCACACCGGCTCCGCATATGGCCCCCAGTGATTGCATCACCATGTAGAACACCGCTCTTGTCAGCGACAGTTTCCGGGCCAAAAATAGACCGAACGTCACGGCTGGGTTGATGTGACCACCTGACACATACAAGAATAGCGCTTTTTGGTTATGTTTATGGTTGCTTACTGATAAATAGAGAGAAAACATACAGGAGGGAAGATCATCTGATGCATAGATTCGTAATAATGCAGTTATGTTGTTGGACGATATTCTATGTTTTTGAAGGGCTCTCTTAGGAAAGAGCTGAGAAAAGTTTAACCCTTGTTTTTTTTTTCATGTTTGGTTGCTGAGAAAAGGTGAGAAAATGAAAAGAAGAGCTTGTGGTGCCCGAGATTTGCTCGAGACCCAGCTCAGTCACAACTTCTTCAATATTTCCGCGGCTAACATAAACAAAAGAAAAAGGAAACAGAGAAGCGTCAAAAGAAGCAAGCTTTCCAGCTCATCTGCTCTTCTTTTCTTTTTCACTTTCTCCATAACCAGATGGAGCACAAGCAGATAACCCAGAAAAAAGAAAGAAAGAAAAAAGATTGAATCTTTCACCCAAAAACCCACCTGAAAAACCAACAAACATGAGAAAACAGAGGCAGTTTGTTTTTCTTACCAGAAATACCAGCAGTGCAGTAGACAAGAGCGAAGATCATGCCACCAAAAGCCCAGGCGATGCCTTGGATTCCGACAGAAGCGCACATGTTGGGGGATCTCTTAACGCCCATGACAGTCAGAACTGTGATGTATAAGAACAAGAAAGTGGCCATGAACTCTGCAATTCCAGCTCTCCAGAACGACCACGAAGTCAGCTCTCCTGGCTCGAACAGTGGAGCCGGCGGCGGCTCCTTGTAGTCCTTGTCGGTCTGAGCCGACGTCCCTATCGGCTGTCTCTCCGTGAACTTGTTCGCTCCCACTCTCACATCCTCTTCCTTGCCCTCCATTGTCTCCCTCTCTCTCCCTGTATCTTGCTTTCTCTCTCTATAAACTGTGAAAGTTCGAAGCTTTTTCAATGGAGGGTGAGAAGCTAGACGCAGGATACTTATATAGAGAGGATAGAGGAGCCTTCACGTCTACGGCTTCACTTCATTTTTTTCCTTCAAAAAACGATACAACAATAATGAAAGTAATGGGTAATGGATAATGAATAATGATTACGGGTATAGACAACACATATGCTCTTTTTTTTTTGTTATGATGATAATATGGAGAAGTGAATAAATTATCTAACAAACAAAATGCAAATAATAATAATTTTTGTCCGCTTATTACATTCCGGATTCCCTAATGAGATCATTGAGACTCGGTTGCTTATAAAAAAATAATGCATGATGAAATATTATATAATACGTTAGAATCAAGAGACAAAGAATTCCACGTTGCTTCCAGCTGGCAAGTGAATTATTTTGCATGGACTGTATGCAGACAGTTGGCTTTTCGTTGAATTAATAATACTAATGAGCGCAATTAGAAAGGTGGTTAACTGCGGGTTACTGTGTGAGATTGAATTTAAACCGTAGAGATGATTCTGGAACGCCCTAAGAAGATGCTCTCTTGTAAAGTAAAGACGTGAAGCTGAGCTGTCTTTATCTTCTTTTTTTGTCTGGAAAACTTTTAAAAGAAAATAGAGGATGTGGGACCACTTTTATTTTAGTAAATTCTACTGTAAAAAAATAGATAAAACTGATCTAATAATATATATTTCTCTATACCGATTATGATTAAAAAAAAAAAAGGTTAAGGTTATCGAACTTCATAAGGCACAAATATTTTATTTTAATGGCAAAAATAGGAGTCACTTTAATCTTTTGGAAATGGTGGGGTGGGAGGTAGTATGATTTAAATTATTTTTCTTCTGACCGTTGGAGGAAAAGGAAAAGGCGTGAAAGTGACTGCCTTATAAAAAGTATCGTTTTTTGGAGTCAATGTATTTACTCATATATGTGTATATATGCATCAATGCATTGTATTATATGTTCTGATCACCATTATATGATAGTAATTTGAATAAATTTTAAATACACAGTCATGAAAAATGATGACGATAACGGTGGTGGGGGGAAATTAAAGAACCCACCACGTGTTGGCTTTTCCATGGTCTCTGTACTCTAGGGCCTGATTCTGCCTGCCCGCCTTCTATTGAAATCAAACTATCATTATCTATCATCTTTTTTTTTTCTTTCACAATTTCTGATTTACAAAAAAAAAAAATGATATTTGCGCGCAAAAATTTCAAACATCTTATCTTATACAATTGTTTTTTTACTACTCACTCGATTTACACGTTTCTATGGAGAAAAAAATATTGACGCAATTGAGGAAAGTCAAGTGAGGTTTTCCATCCATGGAAATGGCGGATGAGATCATCGCCGGTTGATGATCGGTCGGTTTGTCCTTTTAGTCAACTTTGCATTACAAAGAGTTAAAGACCGACCAAAGGCTGAATGACATCCTCAGCCGCTGCCCGTCCAGTACTTGTAATAATTGTCACGTTTATAACACCTCTGCCTCGTTTGACATATAATAATAGTAACAGAAAACAAAATCAATGAAGGCTTCATTTTCCTTTCTTTTGTTTTTTGGAACGTAATAACCAAGATCATTACAGTAACGGAATTAATTACATTTATTTGACACGTAAGCCCACATAACCACTTTTTATTCCTCTTGTTTTGTGACAATTATTCTTATTATTATTATTCTGTGGGCTAATTTGTCGATCGTTGTATGGGAATTGTTACCCAAATGAATATAAAAGGAGGCCTATATTTTATTGGGTCTAACGATACCGTTATAAGGCCCAAATATCAGTGAATCAGCCCACAACAAGATCCCTGAATTATTTTGGTACACGTGTACAGTCTCACTCGCGATACTAACAATTTTGTGGGCCCGTATTTAAGGCCTACATGCGGCCTTTTTTTTACACGGGATAAAGTTCCCTTAGTGACCCTACACTTCGTCCCGGTGAAACGTCGTCGTCTAGAGGGACGTTGGACGCGAGAATAGGGGAGCATCGCCGTTTTCATACGTGGAGCGGACACTGCATGCCGTTTCTTGTGACGCGGGGATGACTCCCAAAATTAGATCAGAGAACAGCAAGCATTCCGTTTACATGACGTTTAGCCTCTTCGAAAACTGCAGACACTTCACACCTCACATCGAAAGAAACGGAAACGGAGATATACATACACCCACAAGGCCACAACACATATATATAGATAGATAACGTGTTAAGAGTGACGTTGGAGCCACTCTTGGATGGCGGAACGGAGGGCGTGGTTAGGGACGAGGTTCTTGTGGGTGAGCTTGAGGTTCGTCATGGGTGACGTCTCGTGGCCATTGTTTAGCCATTCTCTCAGAGCTTCCGCTTCGTATGTGAAACCATCCGCTGCCACGTGGGGCTCTCTCATTACTTCCTGAAAACATCGTTCATCATTAGTTTCAGGATTCTTGCATAAGAAGCTACGTGAAGCGTAGCCATTAGGGTTAAGATTTTCGATATGTCATTGTTTGTACTTATAGTCTCTCGAACCTGAGAGATCGGACAGATGAAATAAGACGGCGGCTGGTGTGCGGTGACCTCCTCCTCCGGCGCTGAAACTCCGGTAAGACTGCCATGGCGACGGCTGTAATTCTGCAGAAGCACCAGAATGTCCGTACAGACTGATTTTGCGGCTCCAGTCTCAGCCGTGGCCTTGACTAGCTCCTCCTCGGCTGCTTTCCGTCGCCTGGCTTCCTCTTCGTAGAGTCTCATGAAGTTTTGTCCAACGGAGCAGGCTTCTTCCTTCTCCTTCTTCACCTTCTCCACCTCCTCTCTCCTTCTCTTCACCATCTCCTCTGTTTCTTTCCTCTGCCTCACCTGGCGGATTCAGATCCCATGTTAAGACCTAGCTATCAATGGATTTGAGTACAGTTAGTTAGTACCTCCTCTTCGTATAGCTGCATCAAGTTCTTGCTTATCAAGCAGGCCTCCTCTTTTTCCTTCCTCGTCTTGTCAAGTTCTTCCTCTTGTTTCTTCGTAGCTTCCTCCGTCTCTTTCTTCTGCCTCAGCTGTTCGTTGTACAACCTCATACCTATCACATAATAAATTCCCTTATAACCAAGAAAACTCCAGCTTGCTATACAAAACGTATCGGTTCGATCCAGTTTTGATCATTACCATCCTGCACGATGAGACGCAGTTCTTCGATCTCCTTCTTAGTCCTCTCATGCTCTTCATTTTCCTTTGCCAGATTATCTTCAGCTTCCACTCTGCGTCTGAGTTCCTCGTTGTATAGCTTCCGGCCGTTCAGAATGATCACTAATGCATCATCCCTCTCTTGTTTCGTCTTCTCATGCATTTTCTTCTGCTTCGTTAATGCTTCTCTTGCTTCTTTCCTTAGCTTCATCTCCTCGTTGTACATCGCCTCGTATTCTCTTGCCTGAAAAAAAAAAAGTTACAGAAAGGAATCTCAGGAACCCATTTCCGACATAATGATATGGCATTAAGGGTTAGTGTCCGTTTCTTACCCTGCGGATTTCTTCAACTGCAGTCTTCTCAGCTTTAAACCTCCTTACACACTCTTCGAATGCCTCGCGTTTTGATTCCTCGACCTCCACCAGTGCTTTCTTAAGCTGTCTGTATATTTGATCACTCCTACCATCTTCGTCCTGCCAAATGAATGAAAGAAGCTTATCAGATTTCGATTATCCTTAACTGACAGTGAGTCATTCCACAGTGCATTGGCCAAGAAAACCGGGATGGCGGTGATATAGACAGTACGGAATGGTCTTCTGATGCAACTGGGTCTAGCATTTCTCTGTCTCCCCTGCCATCGCTGTAAGCTATGATTGCAGAGATCGATTCTGAAGAATGTTTCGTAGAAATAGAAGAGAGTTTTGGTTTCGATTGTCCTGTTGGGTCTTCTGCATCATCCACGCGGTGGAAATTTGCTTCTCTGTTCATAATACATTCATCATATAACTTGACAATGTGCAGAGTTATAAGAGCTTAATTAGGAACATTCTGAATCTGCAACTAAAGTAGTTCAGTTCCAAGAATCTGACAGAGAGGAGCAAACGCCAAAGGAGTAAGCTCACTTTGAGTAGACGAGTTGTCCATTGCATGTAAACAAGACCTCACATGAAGTAGGTGCGCGTTGGTATACGTATTTCGATTTTCTGGACTTGAGATCGAATATTTTCCTGCCGTGGTCAGCAAGTTACCTGAACAATCCTCTCTCTAATATCGCAAGATTCACGCGCGTGTGTGTGGTGTGTATAGAAGGACTTACTCTGAGTAATGGCGATCGGCTGCTGCTCCCATGACAAGCTTCTTGATTTTGCTCTCATGGATGAGTTCCAGTATCCCACGTTTCACGTCCTCCATCTCAATACACGATACATATATGTCATCCTCCTTCACCTGCAGCCGACACATTTGAACGATAGATAACACCATCCATCCTGTTGCTGATTTGTTTATCCAACACCAAAACTCTTTGGATTGCGTGCGTTGGAACTTTACTTTACCCCATGATTTTGACAAAGATCGAAATAGCCGTGTAGTGTATCGTACATGATCGCTTCCAGTTCTTCAAGCTTGCTTGCTGACAAGTTTTTATCAGCACGAGTAAGAACAATAAGAGAAACGACAAATCGATTATTTCGAAAACGCCCTTCATCAAATATATGATCCCAACCCTAACAAAATAGATAGGAACTGAGTAGATCACCTGCTGGAGAAGAAGACTTTGGTCGATGGACATGGAGGATGCAGACTTTCTTGGCGCCGAGGTTCTTCAGAGCCCAAAGCAGCGTTGTTTCGCTCTCTCTTACGTCTCTCTTGACAGCGACATAGACGACGTCGTCTCCCATGAGTTCCGTCATGGATCTATCTTCTTCTGTCTCGTTCTCTGGAAACCGATGAGCAAATGTCCGCACATAGACGGAGACCAAAACATTGGCTTTGGATTAGTAGTAGTGGTGACCCTCAAACGTGTTTTTTGACCGTTTTGGTTTTGTAAGATGGACATGGAGAATGTTCCCGACATACCAAAGTCAACGGCCCGGGTAACGTAAGATATAATTCATTCATTAATTGTACCATCAACCACCAAACCAAAGCATATTATTCATTCCTTTGGTTTTTGCTCCGTATCTGGAAAGACTACGTTTTCTCAACCAGATTTTTAACTTTTGTTTTAAAATGGGTTTAAATTAAATGCCCAAGCCCTTTATTTATGAGCCCATACAAACATGGGCTTTTCTTAAAATAATTATGGGCTTTTTCACATTGTCAGATTCCCTCTCTTTCCCGCCACGCCCACGCCCCCAACCCAAAAAAATCTTTTCAAAATTTGTCTCCTCTCTCTAAAATTCAAACGTCAGTCTGATCTCTCTCTCTCTTTCTCTCTGACCGTTTCGATTTCTCCCTCCCGCTCTAATTTGGGGAACGATACCCTCCTTGTTTTCGGTTTTGACCTGGAGATGAAGATGAACATCAATAGAGCCAGCGATCTGAGTTCCATATCAGTGTTTCCTCCCCATACAAGGTAAGATTTATCGCCTAGACTATACGAGTCCTGAGAGAACTTCGATATTCGCAGTGCGGATGTTTTGAAACTTTAGGGTTTTCATAGGGTTCTGTTTGTTTTGGTTCTCAAAAGGAAACTTAACGCGTAATGAGTTTCTGTGAATCTCGTCTATTTTATGTCCAGGATCAATTCCAAACGATTTCCTAATTTGCAGTAGGAATCCGTTAGTTTCCTGAGAAAATTTAGGGGAGAAATGACACTCTTCTGGCTACAATTTGGGGGGAAATGTTACTCATCCGTATTTGTTTCCCGTTGGTTGTTTTGTCGGGTATGTTGAAGGAGATCTAGTGTTGGATCAGCTGAGCCACAATCATCGCAGCAGCAGCTTCGATCACAACCGTCGCAGCAGTCATTCTCGCAAGGACCTCCCTCTCAGCGTGGCGGCTTTTCTCAGCTGACTCAGAGCTCCCTCGAAGAAGCTATAGCAAATGATCAGGTGAGCTACTTAAACTAAAACTTAATGGTATTTGTGCTCTGCTGTAGCTTTTTATTATAACTTTTTCATGACTGTTGATACAATACAAATGCTGTAGAAGTTGAATGCGTTGAATTCCGCTATCATGGAGGTCGGCAAATAATGGCGAAATAGCTATAGTATGTATGCAATTAAGGACTGTAATTTCGTTTTTATGTGGAATTAAACACTTTTAAAAAAGATTGTAAAAAATACACAAGAATCTTTGCGTTTCCTGGACTGTGAAAATGGAGCAAACTAGAGCTGTATGGAAAAGTAAACACCGGATTCTTCTTCTGCCGATTATTTGTGATACTATTACTACCAGAATTTGCATTTTGCCCTGCCTCTACATCTATCATGCAGTTTTTCGTTGTTGAAAGACATAAAAAGTTATCGTGTGTGTGCCTGCAATGGAATCTTCGCTACAGTTTAGCAGGCCTTTGTTCTGTAGTTTTGTCTCTTCTCCTGTAGAAAAACTAAATTTGTCCTAATTTTGCACCCTTATATTAACAGAGATTTAACTCTCAAGAGCGAGATCTTTCTCTGAAGAAGGTTAGCTGCTTGCCCCCTATCAGTCATAAACGAGAAGACTCTCAGCTTGGGCTGCCGAGATCTTCTAGCAATCTTATGAGGAGATGGAATCCCCCCAATTCGATTGTGGAAGCTAAATGTATGTTCACTCCTTGTGATATCAGAAAGTTATTTTAATAATTATAAGGATAATTTGTTCATATAGAATTTGTCCCTTTGGATTTCCTTTTGAGACGGCATGAGAATGCATTTCAGTTTTGCCATGACTGGCACCTGATTTGGCTCAACTTGTCATTTTCCTGAGCAGGTCAGATTGGTGAAGATTTTGAGCAACGGATTGGAATGATAGAAACTTCATTGAACAGGTTTGGGATGTTGTTGGACTCCATTCAGAGTGATATAATGCAAGCCAACAGAGGAACCAAAGAAGTATGTCTAGAAAGTGAGTTTATGATTGTCATTCTTAGATATACCAGACACACGAGGTTAGCAAAATAAATATAGTATTTCTAAAATTCACTTTCTGATCCCAATGCTGAAATGCAAACTACATGGGATAGCAATAGACTAGCTGTTTAATTTGTTCCCTTGGCTTGGCATAGCCGATCAACGAATTCTCTAGACAAGGCTGTTAAACTTCTTACTTCCTTCCAAACATCATATTGGCAGCGTAATTACTGAATGATGTTGTGTGCTTCAATAGGATTTTCAATTGGTTGAAGTTATTCCACTTGAAGAGTTTATAATCTTTCAAACCCCGACCCTTGATTCTTGAGCTGAATTGCTGGTTTCTTGAACTTATTGCAGCTGAACGTATACGGCAAAAGTTGATTCTCCATGACACTTCACTTGAGCAGCTGGTAAAAGGAAACATCTTCATCATTTTCTACTCTCTGCAATGCATGGATTGATCAAAATTATCAAACTGTTTAATGTGTGGAAAACAGAGTAAGGAACAAGCGGCTGTCAAAGCGAGTCTTGATGGGGGTGTTAAATCTGTTTTGGAGCAAATAAACAAGGATCCCTATCAAGAGAAGCTACAGAGGATCATTTTTATGCTAACAACTATTCCAGAGCAAATTGAAACCTCCCTGGAGAAAACTCGGAGGGAAATCTGCAACATGTTCACCAGAGAGATACGGGTACAATCTGAGAGCCATACGGGGTTCTTGAACCTATTTGGCACATAAGTTCTAGAGAGTCTATAATTTAAGTGCAGATTTATCAGCTTATTTCTTAAACTTATCGGCACATGTAATGCTTAATCAATAGAACCATATTTCTTACAGGCAGTGGCTAGCTTGAAGATTCCTGATCCAAGACAAACTGCCACAGCATCTCAAGTAAAGGTCTTTTGTTCTTTTCTCCATGTCTTTGAACCTTTCATCTCCCAAGTCCTAGAAACTTTTTGAAATCTAAGGACCACAGAGTCTACAATTTAACTGCAGTCTTATCAGCTTAATTCTTAAACTCGTTGGCATGTGTAACTCTACAATCTCTAGATCCATTTTTCTTACAGTCTATGGCTAGCCTGAAGATTCCTGATCCAAGAATTCAAATTTCGACAGCATCTCAAGTAAAAGTCTTTTTTTCTGCTCTCCATGTCTTTAACTATCACTCCCTAAGCCACAACTTTCAGTAACCAAAATGGCTTTTATTCACTTGCAGGCCAAGGAGAACTTGCCTGAGCAATGGGGTCTAGAGGTCAAGGTACTTGAACTTACATTAACGCTTCCTCTGCCCATATATCTATTATGTTCACAAGCTTAGATTCCACTAATACTTGCCAAATACAATTCATTTGCAGAAGAATGCCCGGTATACCACTACCTTGAATCAGAGAAAACCTCAGCTGTCCAGAAAGTAGGTCACATTTATCACTATTTTTTTATGGGTACAGAAAATAAGACCCTACAGTGACCGTTATGCATATGTTCTTTACTTGCCTCTTTTGGGAAGGATTGGTTTCTGGAGAAATATCCTAAAAGCTTCAATCGCATTTGCAGTCCTTGTTACACTTCAACTGGAGCTGTAAAAACTTGTCTATCTCCAAAGATTCAAGTGGGATGTTGGAAGTCAGTGAAACCAGAACAAAACACATGCAAGAAGAGAATAGTGAGCAACCAAGTGAAATCTGAAGGCACCCGTGGGCAGGTGACTGGTTCGGCTTTCTCATTCACAGGCTATTAAATTCCGACTCAGTTCCCCAATCTGAGCTCTATTACTTTCCTGCAGTCGAAAGAATACAGCGTTGTCATTGACTCAGATGAAGACATAGACGGAGGCTTCTCCTGCTTGCTTGATGAGAACACAAAAGGTACTATGAACCCAAACTGAACATTTCAGACATGTTCTTCCCAAAACGTTATCTGTTCTGAACTTAAACACAAAGAAAAGGTCCGATCCATATGACTCAAGGTGATGCATATGTGTTTTATGGGATCATTTAACCGTCGGTTCCATGATTGCTTATATTACATATCAGCATAACCTCGAGGTCCTATGTGGGAAATACATAGGAGGAGTTCAATTCAGATGGGACGCAGAGAAGGAAACTGAACGGATTCTGAAGACGGCGAGAAGGACTAAGAGGAAGTACGGGAACCCCATAGTTATTAACTGAAAAGGTAAAATGTCATATACACGTTCTTTTTCTTGTTTTCATTTGTTATCTTCTGCCATGAGAATCAACTTAGAAAATGGGCAAAAATATACAGTAAAACTCACAAATGGACAAAATGTTCAAAATTTAGGACCTCTTTTCCAAACCTTGTGTTTAACATGATTACACCTGTTGAAAGAAAAAGTGTGTAAATAACTGGATAAAATTTTTTTAAAAAAAATGCATAACAAAACTGCAGGAGAAAGAAAGTTTTGAGTTTTTTCTTTTCAATGAAACTTTTGGGTTGACAGTCGCATTATTGCGTTATAGAGTTGCTTCCTCATGAATCTACCTTTACTTTCATTTTTCAATGATTTTGATGTGTTGGTGAAGCATTTTCGTAAAAGCCCGTTCACCTTACTGGTGAATGGTATTCATGATTCTAAACTACATGCATATCCACATATTCATATACGTATGTGTGTGTGTGACGGAGAGAAAATGAAACTCATAGATTTAGTAGGATGGTATCATTGACAGTAGATAGAGTCGAGTTCTAGATATGAAAATATGATAGGAATTTCACTCTTTTCCGTACATTGCCCATCTCACAACAATAGAGAAAAACATAATTGCTAATCATCATGTAAAAAGTTTGGTATGAGGTGTATAGATCACATAACTTGATTGGTTTCAAGTACCAGCTTCCCATTTTCTTTGTCTTGTTTAAACTTCCATGAGCCAAAGTTATTACAGAATTTGGGAACAAATAACTGATGCAATAATCCCCGAGTCTTTTGTTCGGTTTACGTAAATGGAATGGATTACAACTTACAAAGTTAAGTTAGGCGGACCAAAGACATTGACGTTCTTATGGCCTGAAAAAACAATTAAATAAATATATCTTTTCCTTTTATTTGACTCCCATTTAATTGTCATTATCTCACGAAACATTGTGCTGAGGCGGTGGAGTTAATTTAATACTTTGTTGTGTTTTTTGTTTTTTTTATTAATGTTCAATAAAATCAAATCCGGGTTGACGTATATATGTATCTAATGATTCTGATCTATTATCATTTGAACCCAACTTAAAAAATAGATAATTTCCTTTCTGTATCTGCTATTGTTCAGTCAATATATTCCTTGTTCTATTATATATTTTTTTTAATAAAATAGCGTGGGACGTAAGAGTGCATAACGCTTATAATATTTTGTACGAAAATTTTCAGGACATCAGTATTGATTTCAATATCCGATTTCTTCTTTAATAGGAATACAAAATTGATTATTTGTTAATATAGATATTCATTTTTCAGTTTTTTTTTTTTAAGTTTTTCTCTGTTTGTAGATGTAATATTCATTGAGGTCTTTTCTTTTTTTGCTTTACTATGAACCTCGCATTGCTGCTAACTCTCTCAGTTCTGTCGGTCGGCAGGGTAGGTTCCAAATTTACATAATGTGGCAATGTGCCACAAGGGGCTCGCCCGCTTGATGTTAGCCTTTTTTTTTGTGTTCTGAAAATATTACATGTGCGTTAAATATATACAGAGATATTATATTTCCCCGTGTCTGTATGTGTGTATACGTTTTGGTCCCTACTGAAAAATACGATGAAGGTTTTTTGTTTTCTGATTGAAACAAACCCAAATGAAGTCGTGGTCGTAACCTATTCCGCTTGATTTTGATTTAACTTATCGTTCTACTTTTTGCATTGCATTGATGCCACCCATGAATCAGACAATGCGAGCATATTATTGTCTCTTGTGGACCTTTTCTTCAGTGACATCTAATTATATATATATATATATATATATATATATATATTTTTTGTTTTTCTCCTCTAAGATTTCGGTATGAGAATATTTGTATTTGTAAGAGTTACGTGTCTTATTTATAAAAAAAAAAAGAAAGAAGAGTGACGTGTCTTCCATTCCAAACCCAACAGCAGGATTCAGGAATCAGTATTCTTCAATATTTACATTTTGACCCCTCTCATCTTACTCTGTTCCTTTCGCCCTCCTTCAGCAGCCAGCCCCAATCATCATGCAGGCTTCCTCCCTGCCATCCCTAAATTTCAGAGCTTTCTTCAAAGAGAGAGAGGTTACTAGTGAGGATGATGATGGTGGCTATTGAAATCTGCAGATAAGAGACTTTTCTTCTCTGCAAAGTCTCTCATCTCTCTCTCTCCCACACCAGAGAGATGGGCCCATATGGAAGATTTTCCCAAATGTGTTCTTCCTTTTTCTCTGTGGAGCTCAAGGCCAGCGCCATTGTGGTTGTAAAATTTTAATAAAGCTTCCACTTTAACTTTATCCTCTCTCTCTTCATCTCCCACTTTTTCTCTTACCTTTATTGCCTTCTCCCATTTGAGAATTTTCCCTTCAAATTAATGGGTCGGTCGGCTCTCCATGGAGAGACACCCCATCTGAGCCCTCTCTCTCTCTCTCTCTCTCTCTCTCAAAAGATGCCCAACAAGCGAGAAAATTAGTTTTCTTTTCTCTTTATTTGAATGTTCAGCATTAAAGATTTTTCATGAACCATTTTTTTTCCCTTTAGGTTTTTTTTTTTTTTGATAATCGTTTTTCCCTTTAGGTTGTTTATCAACTCTAGCAACTGAAGGTAGAGTTTTTTTTTTCAAGGATAAAGCTTTTGCATTTTCCCCCAATTTCAACCCTCGATCCCGAGGCTTCAGAAACTTGGAAAAGTTGTCAGAACAACAATGTGGCTGGAGATTGGTAAATAGAGTTATAAGGTTGCCCTCTGTTCGAGGTTTACAAGCTTGAAGCATGCTTCAGACATTCATTTGCTTTTAGCTTAACGATTGATATCTTATTTCACTCCTTGGCTTTAAAGAAATATCAAATTTCTTTACTTTGCCCCTTGCCCGGTTTCATCGGCGACCAAAGCTTGGCAGCTGGTTCAGGTCTCTTATGGTGGAAGGAGAGCAACTTTGTGTCTTGGCATCAAAAGAAAGTCTTGGAATTAGCTTGTGAATTACTTTTGACGCAACATCTTTCAGATTTCTAGAGGTTTGCTCTCTTTTTCTTTACCTTCCTTAGAATCTTCTTATCCATATATGTTTCATACATACACACATATATATATATAGAGATAAATTGCAGCTACAACTACTGTTCCTCCCCTTGGAAGTTTGGAATCAAAGGTACTCCTTTCACGTTTTTTTATTTTTGTAATTTTCTCTGTGGTCCTTTTCAAAGGGAAAGTTGTCAGATTTGTTCCACAAGCTCTGGCCCGTTTGCAATGGCGTCTTTTGTGTATGTCTATGTGCACGGAGATCCCAAGTTTGTGTTCTTTCTTGCCTTTGGTAACAAATATTGTCCTAATCACCATTGCCAAGAGATTGAAAATTATTAGATTGTAGAAGGTGTGTTTACCTTGGACTGGGTACTGGCGGGTTTACTTCTCATGTTAGTTTCTTGTTCAAGAGTGCCACTTCTGTTTCTCGCAAATATTTTCCTATTCTTGAGTCTTGCTTCTCAATCTGAGCTCGATCTTTACCATTCTAGGTGATGTTTCCTGAATTCATAGACATATTATTCTTTGTTCTTCAGGGTTTTTTAAGTCTCCCAGAAAAAGGTGGATAAATTAGGAAAGCAGATACCACATTGACTGTCATAAAAAACCATGGCGAAGAAAACTCAAAGACGTGCTGCAAGGCATGAAAGAGACCAGTTGGGCTGCATGTGGGGATTTATCAGCATGTTTAATTTTCGGCATGGACGATATGCACATAAGCTGCTGGTAGACCGGAGGCATGGAAGCAAACGTGTTACTGGTGAGAATATATGTCAAAGATTCATATCTTCATCATTTCTGTTGTGTTGGCCTTGAAATGATTGTTTCAATGGTTATGTTTACAGCTTCAGGAAATCCTAGGAACCATAAGCTTGACAAACCGGAATGCCACAACGAGACTTCTCGAGAAACCCTTGTGAGTTTCAATCTTGTTTTTCAGAGAAAATTCTAATGCTTAGCAGTCTCAAGTTCTCGTGTTGATTATTCTGGTGGTCTGTTTAACTGTGTAAGGTTGGTGAAGAAAGAAATGTCACAATAGCTGTCATCAAGCCAAGTGTGAAGAAGCTGATAGAACAAGAGTTGTTCAATGAAAAAGAAACCAAGAAGGAGGTGGACAATAGTGAAGAAGGACGGGTTTCAGACTCTGAACTTGAAGGCCGTAGAAGGAAGGACCAGAAGAGAAAAATTAAGACCCGTGGGAAAAGCTGCGACAATTTTGGCCACATAAATGTTATTGACAATGCTGAGCCTGATGTTCATCATAGTAATCAGAAGCATCATCGGTCTATTAGAAGTCTTGACATTGACAATATGATCGAAGAGTTCTGTTGTGAGATACATCGCAGAAGTACAAGCCACGTGAAGAACAAGAAGCTAAACCAGAATCCCGAAGACTATAAAGAAAGACTGAGGGAACTGGTCAAGTTTTTAATTAGTCAGAAGCTTTTACTTGGGAACGGTCTTAGAGAAGATAGCAAAATCCTTACATCTAAAGATTTGATGGAAGTGTTTCAGATTCTGGGTTCAGATGAGGAATTGCTTCTCAAGCTTTTGCAAGATCCAGATTTACTTGTGCCTAGAGATGTTCAAGATTTGCAAAACTGCCAAAGTGAGAAAGAAGAAGGAAATCCAACTTTGTTTGAGAAATCCAACGCATCAGAACAATCCAGTTTGTCAGCTAGTAAGAAACAGTTTAGCTTTTTCAGAGGGAAGAACAGACGAGAAAAATTTGATCTTAACAAATGTGAATCTTCAGACAGAATCATCATTCTGAAGCCCGGACCAGCGAGCCTGTTAAATCCAGAAATGGGAAATAGTCACACGTCATCGCCTGAATCCTATCCGATGAGAAACAAGGCTCAGAATGAAAGGATCAGTTCACATTTCTTTCTCTCTGAGATCAAGAGGAAGCTGAAACACACAATCAGAAAGGAACAACAGGGATCACCACGTGACGGGGAGGAGTTTCGGAAGAGTGTGCCAACTAAAGATCACTTCTTTATTGAACGGATGACAAGGCCTTCAATAACTGAGAAGAAATCACCCAAAGGTCTACAAAAACATGAGGATGATGACAAAAAGCAAAGGATGTCTAACATTTATATTGAGGCCAAGAAACATCTCTCTGAGATGTTGAACAATGGAGATTTTGATCTGAACTCAACAAGCAAACAGGTTCAGAGAACCCTGGGAAGGATACTCTCCCTTCCTGAGTACTCGTCTCCTCTTGGCAGCCCAGGAAGAAGACGCCCCCAAAGTTCTTCAACTGCACATAGGAGATCTGCTTCGGCAGATTTCCCAAGTTTAGAGGGAAACAAGAGAGAATCTCATGAGAGCCCACCAGGTCATGCCATGGAAAATGCTGATCTCCAGCTGTGCCATTTTAACAGCAATCCTGAAAGTTGTATTGGGTCTCTTCAACCAGCCCCAAGTGAACTTACTGAAGAAAGTGTTGTTAAAGAGGATGGAATTCATATCAAAGACAAAATTTCTTCAGGTACTGATAATTTGTTTTCCCTTGTTCTCCGCTGTTGAGTTTTCTTGTCCATCTTGCTGAACAGAGAACACATAATATTGATAATACGGTAAATGTCAAAATAAGCAGTCATTCTTTGATATTCTGCAGATGATGTAATATTTGTCAAAGAAATAGAAATAACTCCAGAGGAAGCCGATACAAACTTAGGAGCTTTATCCGACCAAAGTAACCCATCCATGGACAGGAGCAACCAGATTGTTGATGACACTTCCACGGTTGAAGATCATGATGACCAGAGGGAAGGTGGAAACTCGAAACAGGCATGTAATTCTGAACCACTGCTTGATTATGGTTTTACTATGTGAACTTTGATAAGAAACAACTTAAAGGCTTGAAAATATTTTGCTACTTTGTTTCTTCTACAGGCCTCCCTTGAAGAGAGCCAACGACCTGGATCTTCCTCCGTGGACTCACCGTCTAGCTCTGTAGCTAAAATCGAGGAACCCAAATCATGTACTCTTGATTTGCCAGAGTGGTCAAGTCCCGTGTCGGTTCTTGACCCGATGTTCGTCGAAGATGATATAAGCCCAGCAAGAATGCGGTCCCTCTCAGGTATGACAAGAAAGATAAAAAAACCTGCAGGCCTTGTATTCTAGTAGTCGGTCTTCATCACGAGTCTGCATTGATTCATCTTTATCGATTCAGGTAAAGCACTAGTGCAACCTTTGTATATCCAATTTGAAGAAAATGATTCACCGGCTGGAAATCAAGAGAATTGTGTGGAAACCGTTAAGGATGACAAAGACCTGGTATCTAAGTATGTTGAAGCGGTTTTGGATGCAGTAGACACAGATTGGGAAGAGCTGTATCTGAAATCACAATATTCAGATCAGCTTCTTGAACCGGTTTTGATCAGCAATGTGCCCTTCTGTCCAACCGAGCTTTGTTCTGACCATGAGCTGCTATTTGACTGCATCAACGACGTTCTCTTGGATTTCTGCAGTTGTCCCCCGTGGGTTTCGTTTTCTAAACCCAGAACCCAGGTCTTCTCTAGTGTCAAAAGCATTGTTCATGAGGTTCAAGAAGTGGTTTACTGGAACCTTCTACCATTACCACTTCATAGCGCATTAGATCAAATAGTCAGAAAAGACATGGCTAAAGCTGGAAACTGGTTAGATATCAGAGGTGGAATTGACTGCATTGGTGCTGAGACTGGTGAATTGGTTCTCCAAGAGTTACTAGAAGAATTCGTACTCGATTGGTACTGTATGGACACTGACGACTCCTCGGTTCCAGCTGAGTTATAGGACGGTGAGAGCGT